TCTCTCTCTCTCTCTCTCTCTCTCTCTCTCTCTCTCTCTCTCTCTCTCTCTCTCTCTCTCTCTCTCTCTCTCTCTCTCTCTCTCTCTCGAATACGAACGAACGATTCGCGCCGCGAATTCGAATCGAGGAGACACGATGATGAATTTCTCTCTCGTTCGAAGAAACGATCTATCGAGAACTCCCGAAGCGTGCGGGATTCTCTCTTCTTTCGGTTCTTCTTTCTTCACTTCGCTCTGAATCTTCACCGCGCGAGAATAAAAACCACGTTTCGAAGGTAGCTCGAAGCGACCGACCGAGGGGACCACTACTCTGTGGCCGCCGAGATTCGAGAGAAATACGGGAAAAAAAAAAAAGAAAAAGAAAAGAAAAGAAAAGAAAAAAATGGCATCGCTATTGTGCACGCGCACACACGTACACACACATACAACACACACCACCCCTGCACACACGAAGCGTGCCGGGTCCAGGATTCGTCGTCGATTCGCCCGAGCACCGTCCCTCACCACACTTTTCCGCCAAATACAAGGGCAAGCCTGCACCCGATCTCTTGGCTATGGTCACGAGACACAGGCCGTGTAACCGTAGAAACGCGATTTATATTGTACACTGAGAGAACGCGCACGGCTTACGTAAATAAATAGGTGAAAAGAAGGGAAAGATAGAGGGAAACACGGTTGGACACAGCGATTGATAGGAAAGCGATATGTGACGCAGTGTTGTGATGACGTGGAATTCTCTTTGGATGTCTGGCAAAATTAAGGGTCGAGGGAGAAAAAAGAAAAAAAAAAAAAAAAAACAAGAGCGAGTAATTGTTCGTCACGAGGGGGGGGTTGTAACAACAGAGAGGGATTAATTAGATGCGATTAATTAGGGGGTTGAAGTGCGACGGTTAAAAAAAAATTGGAGATAGAAGCTCGATATAGAAGAGAATGAGAGCAGAGGAAACGAAACGTTTTTTGGATCTACTGTAGGGAAGGGGTACTACCACCATACGGGAGGTCCGATATCAATGTCCGGCGGTGGACGTAGGCACAACGGACCCCACAACGGGCACTACAACATGGCCGCGATGACCATCGAATATAACGGTCATCATCCACCGCGAGAGCCGCGAAAAGAGGAGAACACTCTCGTGAGACGGAGCTTCCGAAGGAGTGGCGACGAGTGGCGCGCCGACAGTAGGAGGTGCGTGTGAAAAAAATTGCGCGATCCGTGCGTTCGTTTCTCCTCCAATCGATAATGAATCGAATATTCTTTTTTTTTCTTTTTTTCAATTACCTCTCTTTTATCGTTCCTTTATTATCTCATTATTATCTCGTCCTTTCGTTCGCGTCGGTCGTCCCGGGATCGCCGGCTTTCCAAAAACTTGCAATTTTTCCATCTTTCTTTCTATTTCGATTTCATTCTCTACGATTCTCCCCCCCATACGTATCGTGACGTATATACATTTTTCTTTTTCCTTTTTAACATCTTTAATGAAACGATCGATAACGATCGGTGTTGTTGTTGTTGTTGTTGTTGTTGTTATTATTGTCAACGGACGAGTCGCCGTCTCTGGCAAACTCGGGATCGTCACGTAACGTAGGAGCTCTGTCGCGACGAGTTCGACGAGTTACGTGTGATAGACAGTAGATGATAGAAGAGTGATGAAAACTGTGATATAAAACGGGAAAACACCGCACGGAACACTTGCGCGTATACACGCACAACACACACAGCACACATACAAATACACACACGAAACAGATACACAGAAATGAACACGTAGCAGACGCATACACACACACACACACACACACAGTAGCCAGACACACGTTCTCGTATCTCCTGTGTATGTGGCGTGTCCATTAGGTTCACGGAGAGGAGGGGGAAAAAGACAGTACGATTTGACGGTGGGACCAATGTCGGCGGCCCTCAGGAGGATTGGTCTTGGGAGGCCGATCGGCAGGGTAGCCAAGACAGCGCGACCAAAGACTCCGGGATAGACACCTCTAGCACGTTCACGAGCAGTGAGGACAGCAACAGGGGCGACCTGCCCAAGGTACTTGGCCCGTTACTCGACTCGCGTCGATCGTTCATGTATCAATTTCAACATTTCCGAGAAAATACAATAATTTGCTTACTGTCGATCGACGAACAACACGAACAAAGGCTAGAGTTCCATCGATCTCTCTCTCTCTCTCTCTACGAGTTCGAGTTCTCTCGAGCGAGAAAAGAAAAAGAAAAGAATTGAAAAGAAAAGAAAAGAAAAAAAAAAAAAAGAAAACATGGCCAGGCCAGTCGCTTTCGATCAGAGATTGTACACATAGGACACATACGAATGTAGCCGGTGGATGATCGAGTAAAAGGGGTCTATGTCGCGCGAGCGATTCAAGAACGAACGAGATAATAAAAAAACACGGACACGGCTTTTACAAGATTTCACGAGCTGTGTATACTTTTTTTTTTTTCCCCCCCACGTCGCGTCTAATAATCGCGCCTTAATTTGTACGAAGTGGCGCTTAGACAATTATTCGTCGCGGGTCTCTGTCGTCCAAAGTGGAATACGGTTTTTTTAATTCTTCTCCTCGTTCCTTGCTTCTCATATATATATATATATAGCTTTAGTGGAGAGAGACACACATAGAACGATGATTATTATTATTATTATTATTATTATTATTATTATTATTATTATTATTATTATTATTATTATTATTATTATTATTATTATAATTATTATTATTATTATCCGTGGTTTGTTTATTAGTGCCTGATTATTTGATTGATATTCATGTACCATTAGCGTAGTAGTTTTAGTATAACGTTTGGATTTAACCCTTTCGTTCACGGCCCGTTCACATTCGACGAGGGAGAAACGAATAACGATTTTTTCCTTACGTTTCGGATACAATGTTTTCGAGTAGATGTGATACACGCATAGATACCATAGATATGCGATATATATATATATATATATATATATATGTATATATATTATTTTTTCTTTTCTTCTCTATTTCTAGACGCTTCGTTCGTTCATTGAATAGATCGTGAAATCGAGCGTGAAAGGATCGAATGCGTGACGAAGGGGTTAATCGACACGACGTAATTATGTCAAATGCCGGGCGAGCCGAAGTTTCAGGGAGGGAGAAAGATTCCACCCGTTTTCCACCCGCGTCTTCAAACAATATATATATATTTTTTTTTTCTCTCTATATGTTTTTCTCCTTTTTTTTATTTTTTTTTTGTTTTATTCTCTTTCTTTCTTACTCCCTTCTCCTTTGCCATTTCACACACACAGATATATATATATACATTGTGAACTTCGCACGACGAAGAAACCTCTTTTGCTCGATTCACCCCCAAACTTCGAGCTTGAAGGCTTTCGTGCTTGGATACCGCGTACTTTTCGTTACGTTACGTTATTATTTCCCACGCATCTCTATTCTAATATATTATACATATAAATTTATATTATATTGTAAATATAAATATATATGTATATATACAGATCTAGTTTGTATATCGAATCCGGGTTGTTACGCGCAAGTCCTTCGGACCTCCTTTTGTCGAGCGTCTTTTCTTTTTTTTTTTTTTTTTTTTTTTTTTTTTAGCATTATCAGCGGAAACGTGTCACGGAGCGAGAGCATTTGACGAAACGCGACGGGAATGCAATGTTCCTGGCAAACACACATAGTTTGATCGCACCTGATCGCATGAGTCTTGGATTGATCTCACCTGATTAAACAAACTCTCTCTCGGGCCTCGGCCCAAACCTTTCCCGTGATTATTATACAGCTACTTAGAATAGGATGCTTTCTTCCTCGCGAATCTCATTCTCTCTCTCTCTTTCTCTCTCTATCTCTCTCTATTCTCTATCTATCTATCTCCTTCTCATCGATTTCATCTCTTCTCAAACTTTAGCCATTTGTATTGTTATCATTATTATTATTATTATTATTGTTGTTCTACTCGATCGAACGACTCGATGGAACGCATATCGATAAAGATTCATTCGTCCCGTCGTCATCGTCGTCATCGTCGCTCGTTTTCGTCGCATATATCGGTTCATCTGTCGTTTCTTCCCCTCTTTCTTCTTAGCTCTCACAACTTCAACTCTCACCAACGGCGAGGTATCTCTCGATCCCCATCCTCGGGATATTCGGGATCGTTGGGTTTTTACCGATCTTCTTTCTTGCCGATTTTCGCAATCCGTGTTTCGTCATCCCGGTGAATGCGAAACGGTCCGTCGTGCAACGGACCACCCTCATCCACCACCAACTTATCCACCAAACCACCACCGACATCACCACTGTTCATTCACCACACGATACATCGCCCGCCACGATATATCGCCCCGCGTTATTAAACGGCCAGGAGGGGGCCAGGGATGGAGGGAGGGGGGCATTTGCGACCGCGTTTAATCAAGTTTTGAACAGGATCGCGCTCTTCGGCCGAATTTCGAAACGCCACGGTGTTAATTGGAAACTCGTTCTTGCCATCCACGGTAAAGCGTGTGCCTTGTGGATACCGGAAAAAATTTTACCTCCCCCCCTCCCCCCTCCTTTTATCGAACGTTCTCACGTTTAGCGCGAGAGGATAGGCTCGAGCGTAATCTCACTCGATTCGTTCGATCTTCGATGAGATTATAAAAAAAAATTCTCGAATCTCGAATTATAGCAAGATCGTATACGATCTCGTTCGTATTTGATCGTGAACGAGGGATAAATATCGTCCTATCGATTCGAAGATCGATTTAGGTTTAACTCGCACGGACCACTCGTGTTTGCGATTAAATTTTGTACTCGTTGGAATCGAGGACGGAATCGGTCATTCGTTTTACAGGGGGAAAAACATCGTTGTACGTACTTCTATGTACTATGCGTGTATCGATTCAGAATCGGGAGCCACCGTTTCGTAATCATCTATTCCGAAATGGTTCCTGCGAGTTGAGCTTGAAAAGGTAGAGATCGTTAGAAGCAGCACCAACGTGAATTAAAAAAAAAAAAAAGAAAAGAAAGAAAAGAATCATCAGTGTCATCGCGCGAGAAGAGTCTTGCCAATCATCATCGCTCGTAGTTCCGGACGGGCGGGTTGCAGCAGGTTCGGGCGCTGGTTTTCCGATAGCCTCCTTGCCGGGCGCATTTGTCAGTTGGCTGGTGTCGGTGGATGGCCGATGGCCGGCCACGCTTCGATTATCCGTTATTGTTATTACGCGGCCCCGTAAATCGGCTTCGAATTTCGATCCGATGCGCGCCCATTCTTTTCCAATCTCGAACGTCTCTCGTTCGGATTCGCCCGAACGGAACCGAGTTATAAGCCGTGGAAACACCGCATCGGCACGCCCGTTTAATCGTTCGTCTCCCGAATGGAAAGCTTCTTGAGAATTAAGGACGATCGCGAGATTCCGTTTAAAAATAGAGAGGGGGGGGAGGATATAAATTTTAAGAAACGTTGTATCTTAGCAGTTTAACGAGATTGAGAGAAACTAGAAACTTTCCTTACCTTTTCTTGTAATATTTTTATTACAGAAAGATATTTTTCGGAGGGGAGGTATTTATCTCGTTATGATCGAGTCGCCGTCCCGAGTAGCGACTGACGAGTTCGTTTGCACGAGAAGGCCCTCTCAGAAACAAAGTATCGCATCTCGTATTGATTTTTAGCCCGCGAGTAGAGGATGTTTCAAAGTTTCTCCCGGTTGAAACGAGAGGGATTATGTCTTCTTCTAAACCCCGCCCGGAACACCCTGTACGATACCCAGTGCAATAAAAACGACAATCCAGCGCTCGGCAAGAGAGGTAATTCTTGAAAAATTCTCGGAAAAATTCTCCGCGCCGCAACGAGAACGAGGGAATTGCGGCTGTGCCACGACCGAATTCCCGAGGCCCCTTTTTCGACCGTACAAAATATCTCTCGATCGTTCCCCTTTAATTTTCTACAATTACCCTGCGTAATCTCGATCTCTCTAAGAGATCTTTCATTCTTTTTTTCTTCCTTCCTTCCTTCCTTCCTTTCTTTCTCTCTTTCTTTCTTTCTTTCTTTCTTTCTTTCTTTCTTTCGGGAACGAACGATTACCAACGAAATCACTCGATGCACTTGGACGAAACCTGATACGTAGCCACGGATCACGGACGTTCGATAATAAATGGAAGAAGAAGGGAGGAGAAACCGTGGAGGGTCGGCCGAGGGTCGAGGGTTGGAAAGGCCGTGCTCCAATTATGAGAAGCAAATAAGCAAGATTAAATTCGATCCGAGTAAACGGACGGGAATCGTGCAATTTATCCCATTTGCGGATCATCTCGTGTACTCCTTCGGTCGAATCAAGATCGACCCCCTTTTTTTTCCGGGATGGGGAGGCCGGTCACCGTCCCATCGAATAATCGACAGGTGTCGATCGAGCCGATAAGAGGCAGAACAGGATCGATGGAAATTGCATCACGATCGCAGGAAATTAAATCTCTCGTCCCTTTCTTCGTATTCACGCGTTCGATCGAGAAGAAGATCGCGAGATAATCGCTCGCAATTTTTTGAACATTTTGAATATTACGAAGCATTGTGCGTTTTTTTTTTTTTTAATTTTTTTATACTCTCGTTTATAGGATTACGATTCAATTCAAATTCGATTTGGGTGATAAGCTTGGACGATTACCGGTGTACCGATCCAAAACCGTCCAATTAAAAGGATGGCTGGTTGTTGAGAGAGGCGTACCTGTTTCATAATTAATCGAATTGGAGCACGGCCAAAGGATATCCGAAGCAGTGACGAGTCTTGACGACCTCGTTAGGCTCTCGTCGATCGGTTTCGCGATGTCTTTTGATAAATCCGCGACTCTTGCCGCCCCGGAAACGGATGTAATTGGCTGCGCCTGTCGTGTGCTCGTGACGAAACATAAACTACGTACTCTCTCCTTAACGTTAGTTTCTAAGCTTTAAGGAGGAGAAAGGAGAAAGTAAATGGGAATGGAATATATATACATATATAAAGAAGAAGAAGAAGAAGAAGAAGAAGAAAAAAATAGAATATCGTGAATTAAAAACTCGCGTTCATAATAGGCATATTTAAACTTTTTCCAATTTAACAAGCATTTTTTTTAACGAAACTTTTCGTACGCGCGTTTATCTTCGTCAATGAGATATTTAATTTTCAAGTATCCCATCCGAATCTGTGGAA